TTTTTTTTTTTTTTTTTTTTTTTTTTTTTGTTTTGTTTTAGCTGAAATTCCTAGTTCCATCGTGCGAGTCGTTAGTGGAATTCCAACCTTTCGCTCTTGCAAAGTTAAATACAGCGCATATATCATTTGATGCGTTTATAGACAACCAGTCTGAATTTGATTTCGTGTGTGAAAATTCAGAGCTGTATGACATAAGAAGCGAAGGTAAAAAAAATTTTTTTTGAATGTCTTAATTGATTGTGGAAAAAATCTCTTATTTTTCTGTTATTTCCGAAGTTAGTCTATGTCTATGTGGTGAAAGTTTCATTATTAAACAATCGTTGTATATTTAAACACTAAATAACTGTCACAGCTACAACTTGTATATACATTATTGACTATTTAAGGTATTTCCGGCAATACGTGTTTGAACATTTATTCTTTAATTGGATCTCCTCGAATAGACTCAAATAAAAAGAAGTAACTAACTTCAAGCTTATTTCGTTATAAAGTTTCAAAGACAATCTAAAGTTAATTTTACTGTTTTCAAAAGTTTATGTCAAAATTAATTCGCAGGAGTTATGAGCGCTAATTGCCTTGTATTTTAAGAGGAAATTTAATGATGGAGGCTCACCTTATGCTGAAGAAAGATGAGCCACCAATAATTACAGTGGTACTCTGTAAAGCACGTGTACTTATTATTTATGACTGGCTGGATAATTTTAAAAATTTTCTTCTTTTAACCAGTGGGTCAGATGTCTCAGGTTTGTCTTTCTTGTACAATATTTTTTTTTTTATTTTTAATATTTTTTCTCTCTGCCGCTCATTTTACAGTAGAATCAAAAGTGCTCTGCGGCACATTTTTTAATTCCTGGTAAATGTTTTCTGTTCCTCTAAAGTATTTGTCGTGTACTCTCCAAATGATTTTCATAATCTTTAAGTATGTGTTACAGAGGCAAGAACTTTTGATTATGCTGCTAAGTCGGGAGTTATGCATCGTATCTCACCGTTAACTGATTCATTCTTGGTTGAAGAACAAACTATGGTTTTGAAAATTACGCTGCAACACACAGACCTTGTTCTTTTAGAAAACCCTAGTTTGAAGGAATCTTTTGCTCTAGTTGCTCACACGTCAGCGGTACTGAATATGAGCGATCCTCGTGGTAAACTCAGTGCAAACTTAGAATTACAGGTCAGTTATCCCTTCTGGTTGACGATACCTTTTTGAACACTAAGCTATTCTTGTCTGTTTGGGAGCAGAGCTTCGTGGCATTGAGATTTTTATTTAAACCCCTGCCATTTCAGGCCGATCATTTTCGGCTTACCTTTTGAATTTTCTTTGAACTTTGCTGAATGTTAAGACTTTTGTCGTCATATGCAGAACCATAAAGGTTACATTTACTAGCTCTCCTCTGCTGAAATTTTTGTCGTAATAGTTGTTGAAAAGCACATTTTGTTAATGAAACTATTAATTTTAAGACATCTAACTAAGTTTGAAATGAACTTTTTTGGCCTTGTAAGGAAGGGATGCCATCCACTTTTGAAAGCATCTTGAAGTTTTTATTTTTTTGCGAGATGAATAAAGGGATGCTATCTATTAGTTAAAAAATGAACATTACGCTGAAATAAATTATTCTGCTAATTGCGCGTCCAGACCAGTAGGTTACCACTCCCAATAGCTTTGAGTTGAATTTCTCCTATCTACAGTCATCTAGAGCTGGCAGTCTAATTTTTAGTGCTCAGAAGCAGAAGCTCTTGATTCCGTTGCAGTTTTCAAGATTTTAGTTTATTGTTTACTCGCTCTATCTACCAATGGTCTATCTTGGAAAATTTATTAACTTGAGGCAGCTTATTAGTTTTTTTTTGAATATAAATAAAGATATTATTTTAGAGCCTAAAAATTGCCTGGTGTATGATGTCGGTAGAGTATGAAAGTTTATGCGAATTGACAAACAGTTTTTCTATTACACTAACTTTGACTACCGAAAGCGATTTTCCTGGTGGCGATAACCTCTCTATGTCGTCCGGTCTTCCGGTTTTTCACATTCCAAAGCAAAAAATTGTGGTATGAGATAGCAGTGTGGTGAAGTTATTTCACAAATTTTGTTTTCTTTTTCTCCATCAAATCTAGGTGTATTTTAGTGCGATATTAACAAGTTTATTGCAAGAATATCCTACAGAGACATGCTGGTAATAAAAAAAGTGGTAGAGGAGTTCAGGAAAAGCCTTAATTCGTCATTCAGAATACTTGCTCTCGAACAAGCTAACCCTCCGCGTAAAAGTAGCTTTTCCTTTTGTTTTCAATTGTCACATCTTGAAAAATAGTTGGGGATGTTTTTTTATAAAATATTCATTGACTCTCAGTGTTACGGAATAAGATTTCGGAAACAAAATCATTTTTATAGGGGCTTCTACGTAACGATTTTTCCATTTTGATTTATTTATTTGTGTTAAAGAATTGTCTTTTAGGTAATTTTGCTCTTAATATTGTGAAGTACGTTGTGAAGAGCGATCATATTGCTGGTTGGTTTCTGGATGATTTTCAGGGAAATGCGTTTCCACTATTGCGAGTGGTACTAACAAGTATGTTTCATGTTCCCATGTTTTTTTATTGTAACCGAGAACTATTCTACTTGTCTTAAATTCATAAATTAGTTTTCAGTTTTTCTTGTGAACATCTATTTGAACTGAAATTTAGTTTCATTAGAAATTTTAAATTTTTTGATTTCAGAGTTGGAACTGAACCAGCACTTGGAAAAACTTAATGGTTCCCTAGTAGTTAATGTTGATTATTTTAACCAGAGAGTATTCGGTTGGGAACCACTTCTAGAACCTTGGTATATCAAACAGCTAAGCATATACATAAAAAATCAGTGTTTGACAGCTGATCTTCACGCTGGTAATGTTTAATACCTTGTTTCGTCCTCTTGTTTTTCACGGATTATTGTTTGCAACGAGCTGTGTTGAATGTTATGCTTGAAAGAGTTTTGATATGAACTGTTTGTTTATCACCGCAAGATTAGAGGTTCTATTCTTTTTGCAGAGGAGTCAAGCACGTTAAACGTTAACATCACACAGGTCTTCCTTCAGCAGGCAAAAGAGTTCAGTGCTCAGTGGCATGAAATGAAAATGACTTTTGAAAAAGACTTTCGGTATTATATTTATGTGGTTCAAGTATAAGTTTGTGTTTCAATAAATCTTTGGAGAAAAGTAAATTTATTAGTTCTGATGTAGTGGTGCTTAGTGGAGGCAAAATGGATGGTAGAGGGGCAGGGTGACCTTTAAGTCGTCA